CCATGATGTAAATAATCGTTCCCCCCATATCTTCAAGACATGCAACTTACCATATCACAAAATAGTAAATCCTAGGCTCAGATTTCATCTTTGCTAAGAATTATACTAGTAAAGTTGTTCATTGCTCCAATTAAAAGTTAAATTTACTTAGAAAGGACAAGGGTATAACTTTCACATATGTTTATGTTCCACACTAACATTTTATAGGAATAAACCAGATTTTATCAAACTACTRACACCTTCAGGCAATACAGATATCTAGAAAGAATGGGGGCTTGGGCTCCATCCCCTGTACATTCTAATTACATGACCTTGGTAGGTTACTCAGAGCCTCTATGTTTTTTCATATGAGGTGCAGACTTCACATATAATTTGTTGACTTTTTACTTTACAGATAATAATATTTACCACATATATTTAGGAATAATTAAATGAGTTGTTATTGTAAAACATATGATAGGCAATGTTGTAATTACAACTACTATTTATGGGAACAAATAATTATCCTTTGTAATAGAAATATTCACAGTTTAGGAATGCTCATTTCTGACCAGTTGTTAACATATATGCTATCAATCTTGCATGATTTTAAAATCCAATGTCCACTGTTTAAGGATTGAAATGTTAACACCCTATTAAAAACAACTGAGTCTGACTCTGCCATAAGCTGCTTGTGTGACTTGGAACAAGCACCAGCTGATGGGTTTTTGCTTCTACATTTGTAAAATAACCAAATGGACCATCGTAGGTGATTTTAGGGCCCTTGCCACCTTTACAATTCTTCTCTGTGACTCTTGTATGTCCACCAAGTGGCTGTGTGATCCATATGAATCATATTGGGATAATTACATCTTGATTTCTAAGGAATCCATGTTCCTTCTCAGAAGAATAAAAACTGCTGCCATCTAAAACTAGTCTCCCAAATAAATGTCAGCCTCAGGATAAAAAGAAAGAAGAGAGAAGATAGAACAATTCATATGCTCAGATTTTGTAATTTGAGCATTCTCTGAAAATTATTCCTCCAAATTTGAAGATGAGATTGAATTTTGAGGCATCGATCTGGTCAAAGAAAGTGTGTTTCAGAAGACATAGCTACTAGGCTTATAATTGCACCTCTACAYGTAAAACTCCAAATCTAAGTTGCCTTAGTTATTGGAAATCCTAATTAATGACTAATATACTTCCAATTCTTCTGGGAAATGCAAAACAGACTTGTACAATTAACCATTCTTGTGGTATTTATTTTGAAACCAACTGTGCATTTCTTGGCCTCTTCACATACAAATAATGCCAACTCCTACACAGTTSCACAGAATTCTCTACAGTTCCCACTTGCTATGCCCCTTTTTTTCCCTTGCCCTCCCTTCCATTACCTCATAAATGTGGAACATTTCAGAAATCACAATCCCTTTAGCAGGAGGTCTCTACATGTTTATAAGGCATCAGAGGAAAAACTCAAAAGATGCTTTCACACAAAGGTGGGAAAAGGGAGCATAAATTAAATTCCTAATGGACGAAGCAACACAGGAAAGCGCAGGGCATGAAGAACCAGGTTCTCTCTGACAGATGGTATGCAGTGCATGYAGCTAGCCCGGCAATGTTCAGGGGCTTGCACCAGTGCAGATACAGAAACAATAAAAATGCTTATTGATTTTAAAGAGATCTGTAATTAAGTATGACATTCTAACTGATAGAGGTTTACCAAGGCAGAACAGCCAGATTTGAGGGGTCCTAAAATGGGATACTGCTTAATTTATTTAAGTGGTCAATCCTAGAAAGGCAAAACTTCAAGATTTTGGACTTGTATGCGTGTGTGTCTGTGTTTACATCTTGTGTGTGCGCACAATTGAATCTAAAGTTTTAGATGGTGTCTGCCCACTTGAAATTTTCTTTGGGCTTAGAAAAGCAAATGTCACGACCCTTACATTCACTTGCCTTGGGCAAGCAAGAAAAATATCTGTCAAGACCCAGGTCTCGCTGTTAAGGCTGGAGTTGAGAAATGCCCTCCAAATGCCTTCAAGTCAACATTAGCTATGACAGAAGCAAGACTATTATTTAACAGTAGCAGAAAATGTCAAAAACAAACTGTGCCTGGCGTTTTGACAAGACACTGTTGAAAGAGAACCACTTTTTCAGCACTTGTGTAACCCATGGGGGAGAACTCGACAATTAATATCCTGAGGTCTGGTAATAGGATTTCCAGGCAGCTTGGTGGTTTCCTTCTGATACACATGAAAGGAGCAGGCGAGTGGCGGACACARGCAAAAATACAAAAACTATGAGGCCCCGAGAAAAGGACTGATGCGTCAGAAATCAGGCACCTTGCAGCTAATTAAAATGTAACTCCACGTTGGGGAAACTGTACTCTCACAGAGGTGACACTATAAAGTATAAGGACAGCCATCATCTCTAGGTAAAACAAGACACAAACAGAACGGATCTCCTTCCTTCCCTCTGGTGACTTGGTGGCACCCTGAGATACCCCACCTGAACTTTTCTCCATGGACAGCAGCAGCTCCAACGTGACCTGGCCACGTCTCCAGCTCTGAGTTAAACAATGAATTTATCAATATAACTATTGGCCAGTGTTTTGCCCTCCCTCCTTAGAAACCCGCTCCCTGTTAAGAGAAGCCATAGCCTAGTGGTCAGCAGGCACAGTGGATTCATGGATTACTTTTCCTTTCCAGAAACATTCAGGAGGGACCCTAATCCTAGGGACTTGCCAATGTGCTGGCCCAATCCACATTCTTAGAAGTGAATACAAGAGAGGGGAAAATGAAAAGAACTAATATTTAATTGCACAGGGCTTATATGCTAAGCACTTAAAATTATCACATTTAATGTTAACTGCTCTCAAAAGGTGATATTGGATCTCCATTTTATAGGTGAGAACCCTGAAGCTTCRAAAGCTTGAGGCCCTTGTCCAGGGGCCCAGTCTGCAAGTAACTTACCCAGAATTCAAGTCTGAATTTGTCTGACTCCCAAGGCCAACCCCTCCCTGGGTCCCTCCATTATACCTCAGGACCACACCTTGATCATTCTCAAAACATTCTTTTTCAATAAAAATCTAATGCTGCTTAATAATGGGAGTGCCATGAACTGGGGTAGATGGAGGCAATCTCAACTTGCAGACTTCCTAAAAGAACTTCCAGGGGCAACTGTGAATCCTGCTGAGCATAAGATGCCCTGCTGGTAGATTTCAGGAAAACCATTCAACTGCCAAAGAGAAGCCAACCCTGTGATTTAAATTCTACCTCCCACCACTTCCTCTTTCTGCAGTCCTCACACAACCAGACCAAGCCTTCGCCTGTCTTTCCACATGGCTTTCATGTCTATTCTATCTGCTATGGTTTGAGTATGATTTATCTCCCAAACTCAAACAAGAGTTTAATCCCCAAAGCCTTATGCTAATGATGTTGAAGATCTGACCATGGTGTTTGGAGGTCTTTGGAAAGTGATTACATTAGGCTGCATCATTAAGCTGGAGCCCCCATGATTGAACTCCGGTGACTTTATAAGGAAAGGGGTGTCTCCTCACTAGAKCCTGTGCCATGTTGTTTGGACTTCCAGCCCCCCAAAAGTGTGAGTCAATGTAAACCCCCCTTTTTGGTAAACTGGCCTGCCTCAGGTATTTCCTTATGGTAATGAAAACCCAGTTGATGCACCACCCAATGAGAAATGCCCTCACCTCCTTAAACTGAGTTAGTGTCTTCAAATCTTGTTGGTACCTAAGTCCTCCTCTTTCAAAGGCCTTTTCTGATCACCACATGCACACTGTTCTTCCTCTTACAGAATGTACCATCTGCACAACTCATCTGTATGGCTCTCATAGAGCTCATACTTTTGTTGTATGGTTCACATCAACACCATACCACCCAGGACAATAATTCACACAGGCTGAACCTTTCCAAATATCAGAAGTCAACACTTGTTAAAATTCTCTCTTCTCCATTCTGACAGATTTCCGTATAAAACTGGTTCTGTGGAGGCTGCAGTGGAACCTCTGCTATGGAATAAGACTTGAGGTCCAAGATCCAAGTCCAAGACATTCACAGAAGGGGAAACTTGTTAGGCTTTCTAGGAATGATTGTACTAACTCCCTAAAGAACCTGGGTTATGTAGTGGATGAGTGCATTTACCCAAGTATATCTACAAAATCTATACTTTTCTACTAAAGCCTAAGGTTGCATTCATGTCAACAATGCCCACTGTGACAAGTCATTTGTTTATTCTGTGATGGTCATGGTGACAAGGAGACACCTTGGTCATCAGAGTGAAGTCAGGGTCTGAAACCCTCTTCTACCACTCAAAAATTAGGGACCTGGGCAGCCACAGAAGGTTGGTACTCACATGGTATGTTGGGGATGCTCACATGTGGCATAAAGGAAACGTCCGATTCATTCTCTCCCCTCATGCTGCTTTAGATGATAGAAAAGTAAAAGTGAACCCCTTCCTACTTTCTCACCAGTCTAGGACTTAGAAATACAAAGTTTGTATTGTGCATTTCAAATTCTTGTTTTAAATTTATACCACAAAAATATTTTCTTATAGTTGTATTCATGATGAATCATTAAGGGAGAATATTCTAGTGAGAAGAGAATGCTACTGCAGTGGTGGACATTATCAATGATCACCAGTATTTGGCTATTCTCTCCCCCCAGGGGACTTACCCAGGAGGTAAGTCCTGTTCGATGAGCCCAGCAGAAGTACAGCACATTGCTTCTGGGTTCAAGGAGAGAAGAGTGGACACTAGGGCCCATGCCTCCACTTTCTCTGCCTTGGTGACAAATGAGGATACATACCATGGTGGAGCAAACCCAGCCTCCCGCCATCCAAGCTGTTCATGTAACATATGTGAGAAATAAACCTGAGATTTCAAGTGTTAATTTTTTACAGCGGACAGTGTCCTAATACACCAACCAAGATACACATAAATGAAAATGAGTTGCTATTTCAAAGATAAAAATGTCAAACATTTATTTTTCACCAATTTATTTTTCTTTAGGAAAAAAAAGTCTCAACCTGACTCAATTTTAAAGTGAATTTTACATACATTCTGGAAAGATCTGCAACATGTACTGGTTTGTTTTCACTTGGACAGGCATGATCTTGACGTGCACCAGGTCTAAGGCATTGAAAATTCCACAAAGATTTGTCTTGGTAAACAGTTTTAAGCTTCATCTTAAATTTGTCAGTCTGCAGATTTCCCAAGCCAAGTGAGCAGAGACTTTGCATACCAGGTGCATCCAACTGACCCTAAGGTGATGGGGTAGCACTTTGTCTTTCTGTAATGTCCTGCTGAAAATCTCCAGCTTTTGTACATGCAGAAAGATTGTTTCACAGCAGAACTGCCACTGTCATACTTTGGTTGAGCAGACATTCCCAGAAGATCTAGGAGTGACATGTGATGACTAGAAAGGGAATAGAAATGAGTTTCATTCAGCGGCAGAAACTCCCAAGGAATGCATTTTAGAAATTTCTGTTCTAAAACAAACAGATTCAGCACTTGGGTTCTTTCTTTCCTTTGTCTGCTCAATTGCTCCTTACAATGAATTGGTCCATGATCACAGTCTGTACCAGTTTCCCCAGAAAATGTTTCCCAAAGAGAGACAAATCTTGCAAATGAAACAATCTCAAGGAAGCACAGTGGTCCTGGGTTTACTGTTTTTAGAACAGTAATAAAATATATTTTTAAATGGCAATATGTCTCCCAAGTGCTCATTACTTTTAAAGCCCAAGATGGACTTTAAAAACCATGCAAGRATAAGCAGTTACAAATCCTGCCATGAGAAAGCAGAATAGGACACAGCTACTAGAGCACGATTTTGATATGGAATCAAAACTGCCCCTTGCTCATGAAAATTCTTGTGGAAACTGAACTAGGGAGACAGTGAAAAGGAAAAATCGTCCATATATGGCAGTCAGTTTTGACATGAGGCTCATCAATAGCCCAGTCTTTCCAAGGCACATCATTATCTATCTGATCTGCCAAATCCGATACTTAACAACATTGTCTTCAGGACAGTTGACATACCCTGGAAAAGTCTATCTTGTAAATCACAAAGAAAGATGACAGGTTCCACAGATCTCATCAGCGATGAAAAAAAGGGAGGCATACAGGAGCAGACATGAGGATACTTGCTGGCACCATGAACCAAGTGTGCTATGTGTATTTCAAGAGCAAAAACCTCTATAGCACACTTTTTCTTGAGACTCAGCAAGAAACCCCTGACTTAACCTGTTTATCTCATTACAGACTGACTTGAGTTTCTGAAATGTAAAGGCAAATGAGTAGGAAGATGACATGATTTTGTTGTATAAAAGAAAGTGGTGACAGAGGTGGGGGGTATAGCTCAGCGGTAGATATGCTAGCAAGCGGAAGGTCCTAGCTTCCAGTCCCCAGCAGAGAAGGCAAACTAWAACTGTTTCCTCCTACCACAAATCCATAGAAATAGCAACAACAAAAGACTTTACAAAGAAGTTGTAAAATRAGAAGTTGTCTTCCATGCACCAGAACTACATGGAGTCCCAGAAAGAAGAAAATAATTGAGAGCAGTTGGATGAAGGAAAACAACAGCTCAAAACACTGAAGGGGAGAATTGGCCAAAAACAAAAGCTAGAGTCTAAGCTCAGAGGTAGCTGATGGCTGGTGCCAGAAATGCCCAGGCAACTGACGTGATGGTTCTGAGGAAGGAGCCMGGCTGACTAACCCTTCCACACTTCTCCTCTCCAACCCTGGCATGGGGCAGACAAGTCAGCATCACCTTCTGATATGAGTGTTAAGTGTGGGCACTCTGTCCTCAGAAGCATGGCCATGAGCCCAAGGCATGCCAAGGGTGTACTACAGACTGCCTGGCAGAGTTTAAAACTTTAGGAGAAGAGTAATTAAACATCCTCAGGTGATACCATAGCAATATGCCTCATTTAAAAAAATGAAGATCTTAGAAATTAAAATAGTGATCACTGAAATTAAAAACTAAACTGATAGGCTGAGTGCTGAATGGATACAACTAAAGAGCAACTCAATGAGCTGGAAGATCCAGTTAAATAATTCTTCTAGAATGTAGCATGTTAGAGAAAAGCTAAGGGATGAACATAAAATAGAAACCATAGGTCAATGATGAATAGGACTTTTCAGATGAAAAGACTAGAAATGACACATAAGAGACAGATTTTCCTAGAATAAAAATATGTCTCTGAACAGGATTAAAATGATTCGTATATTATGAAATTTCAGAATCCCTAGTATGATGATAAATACCTAAAATACACATATGCAYGTGTGTATATGAACACACATACCTTAAAGAGGGGATCCCATTTAATTTATAATTCCAATACAAAGAAGGCACTCAGATAATTATTCCACTGGATGGCAGAGTACAGATAACTCCCTTCCTTTCCACCTGCCCTCTGAGATCATTCCAGGTAACATCCCCATGAGTATTGACATCTGATCACCCAGGCCAGGCACCTCTACTCCACTGCTGTTCATCTTTACCCATTCCACTGAACGGGGTTAAACACAGTTGTTAAGCCTGTGGCTGATCAAGTTCTGGAAGTGTTCCTCTATATTCCTCTCAACCTACAAACCCCAAACCTACCTCCACCGACTTGTTAAACAGGGTTTCTCATCTCCTTCAGATTTGCAGTCCTTTGACTTGATCCTATGCCCTTGAATGGACAGATTAGCATGCTGACTCAGCTTCCTTCCCAATTAGTCTGGATCCTATGATTTATCCTTGATCTTTCATTAGGAGCCATTAATTTTTCACTCACATTTGTGCCAAGCTGACMAGTCAATCCCCAACTGGAATCAACCTAATCCATCATGGTTGGTTTAAACTAACAGGTTTCTGAATCCACTCAGACATGGAATAATCATGGACCCTAACCTGGGTCTGTGGTGGCCTCAAAACTGGATGGCAATTCTTTCCCCATCTTTCCTTAGCTCCTGTGTCCATTCTTGAAAGATGCTGTCCTAAAACATCATTCCCTCAAAGTCTTCTAGCTTCCCCCAGCTCACTACCAGTGATCAGGTTTTTCTTAAAATACGTTATGATAAAGAAATGTGAGAYGAATACATAAACATACACACATATATAATGTGTACACATATATAATGTGAATATACGTGTGTGTGTGTGTATATATAAACACAAAAATCAAAATTTTATTCAACCATAAAGAAGAATAATACTATGTTATTTACAGGAAAATGAATATAATTGGAGAGCATCATGTTAAGCAAAATTAGCCAGACTCAGAAAGACAAGTATTATATGTCTTCTCTCATATGTAGAAGCTAGTGGGGGAGGGGMACATGATGAAAATAGAGGGAATACAACAGAGTAAATAAAGGGGAAGCTAGAAGCGGGGAGCAAGGGAGAGGGAGGATGGGAAGGTAAGGGKTGCTCTTGGGGAAGTGAAATTGATCAAATAATGTTACATGCGTGTACCAATATGCCATAATGAAACAGCATTTTATATAGTTACTACACACCAATAAAATAGATATTAAAAAACATTGTGAGCTATTCTATTAGTATACAATTAATTATTCTAAAATTTAACATGTTAGTCAATATAAAATGACTAAATATTATCTCCTTTATCTCTAGAATAATTCACCCATCCAACTATACTTTGTAATACCAGTTGCCCTCTGCCTAGAACTTTCTCCGACCTTGGTTGACCCACAGCACTCTTTTCTGGTTTTCTTCCCACTCCTGGACAATTGCCCTTTATCTCCTTCAAACTTCTCTGGCAACTTACTGGTRTACCTCAGACTTCTTTTCATCATAATATACTCCCTAGGTGAGCTCATACACTCCCACAGCTTCATTAATTACAGCTATATGCTGATGACTCTCTCATTTACATATAGTCACTTRGACTCAAATATCCAAATGCTTCTAGTATCTTTTCTAGAAGTCCCCTACATAACTCAATCTGAAAATGTCAAACCAACTCATTAACTTTACCCACTCACATACTGCTCTCCATTCCTCTTTTGGTTTATAGAAATATCATCTACTTATTTTCCTAAGATAGAAAATTAAAGTCAACTTTGACTCTTCCTTTTCCTTAACCTTCACACCCAATACACTAAGTTGCAATGATTTTACTCTAAAGTGTATCTCAAAGCATCCCTTTTTCTGTATTTCCAGTGTCACTACACATCTCATCTCTTTCACCTGGGCCCTTCCTCTTAATCTTAAATAAAACTGTACCAGTGGGTGGCAACCTAGGCTGTACCTGGGGAACTTATAAAATTCCTAATKCTTGGAGCCCATCCCAGACCAAAGATACCAGTCTCTTCGGGGAAAGGACCCAAGCATCAGCATTGTTTTATAGGTCTACATGTGATTCCAATGTGGAGCTACATTTAAGAATTTTCCAGAAATACTGGGGAATGATACTGACTAAATTATATCGTTATATTGTATACATGCATGAATATGTAAAAATAAATCCCACCATGATGTATAACTATGATGCACCAATAAAAAATATGGGAAAAATATGTGTGCTAAAATTATAAAAAGAAAAAAAGGAAGAATTTTCAAGAAATAAAGCCATGAGCTCACGACTGAAAGTGTAAAAACAAATCTACAACTCAACAAATTAGAGAGAAACTGAAAAATCTTGAGAATAAAGAGAAAATAGTGTAAAATATTTGGAGTAATAGACAGATTGCCTACAAAGGAAGGAAAATCACACAAACAGCAGAGATGTGATAAGAGAGAAGACATGAAGTTAAAAATCTTCAAAGAGTTAGAGGAGGAAAAGGAAAATGGTGAACCTAGAATTCTCTTCCCTGCTAAACTGTTCTTCAAGAATAAAACAGATTTTCTCAGACACACAGAGCTCAGACTCTACTATTCCAATCATCACTGAAGCATTGCCTTATACAGAAAATAAGTGAGACAWAGGAGGATTTGGTAATACTGACCAAACCTGGAAGTAGAAGATACGTGACATATGTGCACCATTGAGAGGTCCCATGGCCTTAATGAAGGTAAACTGGTTCAGTGCAAATAAACAAATTTTACAACAAAGTATTAGTAGAGCTCTGACTTGTTAATTTTTATTGTTTTCTTGTGTTTTTGTAGAACTTAGTCCAGTTTTCAGCTATCTGAATTCCTATAACTTTAAAGATATAGAAACAATATATCAATATTAAAAATGTTTACCACTTTCATTACAAAWAAACAGGTGTTATATATTTGCATATTTATCAAAATATTGAAACCTTTTWATTTTTTGCCATAATTATCTTTCTTTGGGTCTAGATGATCTGAAAATAATTCAAGCACTCTACTGACAATCTCCCCAATACTGTTTCCTTTCACCATTTTTCATTACATTCAATCACATTAATTTTATAAGATTAATCCATAACACTATGTTCTAAACACTTACTGCAAGGAGAAAAAAAATGACTCTTAGCCAAGATTATAATTACATATTTAATACATCTTGCTTTTAACAGCAATTTTCAAAGTAAACACGTCATAGACCTTATAACTTATTAAAGATTTTATAGTGCTTACAAAGTTGATTCTAAAAATATAGTTTATTTGTTCTAAATGAATAACATTATCTGGAAGATAGAATAATAAATTATAGTAGTATGTTTACCACCACTCTAGTTAAGCTTGTGTACACATACTCAACATGAAATCCTCCTAGGATTTTCAAACTTTCAGCCTGAAAACATAAAAGCAGAATAAAGTTTGGCATACAAGATTGCAGTCTGATAGCAATTGTTTTAAAACCAAAAATTTTAAAATATTCACTTGAYATTCTAGGAAAGCAAAAGCACATGCACATACATATTTACATTGACACTCTCACTCATTCACACACACTCACCAGAATACTCGGAAGATTTTTGCTCTTGTGTATCAGACAACTGTCGACAATTTCAAAAAGAAAAATTAGGGGGAAAACATTAGCTAAGAATATGTTTAAGCCATACTTAAATGGCTCTAGATGTTAAAAAGATATGCCAAAAACTGTTACCAAGATCTTTAATATGCACAGAATGCCAACTGAATACATTCTTCAGCAAATTTGAACTATTCACTCACTAGCAGACATGAATACATAAGAAAGCATATACCCATCTATTTCCCAGTTGCATATAAGATTGCAAATCCAGGCATTCCTCTGACAGTCATATGACTAARCCTAACTAAAGAGGTTTGCTTTACAGAAACCAATATGTTACAGAACCCAATAGAATGAGAAACCTCATTTTGATCTGTTTGGAGTTTCTTATATGTTGCTCGTGCAAAAGCAGTGAGCTTCTGTAATGAAAATGACAGATAATATCACTCTACAYTTCGTGGCACTGCAGAAGGTGACTTTGAAGTCCCCAAACATTTACTTATTCTATTTAAACTTTCTAACTTTTAATTACATACATTCTTTCAAATTTAGACTCAGAGTGAGCTAATAACCTCACCTGCTCATTACATATACCTCTAGCAAAATCTGTCAAAACAGRAAATTACTCTTTGGGTTTGATGCAGGTTTGAAATCATTCTATGGAAGTTCTTTGCCATCAGATATTAAAATACTCAAAATTCTCTGAAACAACATTAAAATAGAAACTAACACACATCAGGGCATGCATAACTCATACCGCTGTGATTAGAAAAATMAAAAGACACAACAGTAGGTGAAAGAGAAAACACCAGCTTCCCATTTGCTTTGTGTTTGTTTGTTTTTTTGGCTTTTCTCTTATGCTTTATTTCAGTACATTTATAAATTGTTCAAAGCATTCTTATACTCTTTGTGACAGTAAGAGAGTGTTTTGGCACATCTACATTGTGATACAATGTATGGTATGTTTAAAATGAATTTAAAAATCCCATCTATTAATCAACATATTTTTAAATGTAGTGCACATATATCTTACAGTTATTTAAGTCAAATACATAAAGGTTTGCAACTGATTTACAGATGAAGCAATCACAGATTGCAGCAGTAGCATGTGTGTGCATTATCTATACACACTGATCAAGGGAAAAAATTGCATCCTGGCAATTTTATAGTCCTTAGTTTTGTTGATATATCTGTCATTTACATGCCCTTTTCTTCTTGTTTTTCTGTACAAAAGATATATTTTTGCCATCTTCATTCTTGATGAGACTTTTCTGCAATAACTTTACATTCATACTGCAAAAATTAAAAGGTTAACAGATTAAAATCTCTTTTGAATTGCAACTTCCAAATAAAACAAACTGCTCCAAAAATGAATACTTTTAACATATGCCCACTTTATTCCTCAAAGAATCTGAGTAATAAAAGATTAAATGATAAATGGATAAGGTAAAAGCAAATTCAAATTCTACAAGAGAAATTGCCACAGCCAAAAGCAGGAGAAAGATGAGGTCTCCTATCAGATGAGAGGAGAGGAAACAAAGTAGGTTTCTTTGCTCAGTAAAGCAAGTCTGCAGTGAAGCAAGTCGTGAACTAAGGACAAGACTGATGAAGTGAATTTGGATGATTGTTTTTTCAAATCAGTTTATGGCTCAAAGGAAAAAAATTATCACATTACAAAAGCTTCCCATCAAAACAGTATTATTAATATACAAGTATAAAAACATAACCACAATTCAAATAAAGAAAACCAATGGAATTAAAATAATTGGGTGGCCAGATTATCAAAAAGATAGCAAAGTAAATTACTCCATTGTCTAAGCTGGATGAAATGGTAAAAGTGACAGCACTTATTCATGAACTGCCATGGCCTCTGAATGTTACTCCCTAACTGGTGCCACCATAACTGGCATTACCAACAATGTCCTTTTCCTTCATAACTAAAATAACCAAATACCTTGATTTACTGGAGACATTCTTAATTTACAAATACTCTAGCAATGTGACTATTAGTAGCTCTTTACTTTTAAAACTGTCCATTTTTGATGAAGTAGAAATTAAAAAGGTGGGGAAAAAAGATTTGAAAATCCCTAATAGTCTATATAAATTATATTACCCTATCCATGACACATTTTGGCTTTTCTCTCTAATAAGTCCTCAACTTTATTTATTTATTTATTTATTTATTTATTTTTATTGGTTGTTCAAAACATTACAAAGCTCTTGACATATCATATTTCATACATAGGCTTCAAGTGAGTTATGAACTCCCATTTTTACCCCAAACACAGATTGCAGAATCATATCAGTTACACATCCACATTTTTGCATAATGCCATACTAGTAACTGTTGTATTCTGCTACCTTTCCTATCCTCTACTATCCCCTCTCCCCTCCCCTCCCATCTTCTCTCTCTACCCCATCTACTGTAATTCATTTCTCTCCTTGTTTATTTTCCCATTCCCCTCACCCTCTTATATGTAATTTTGTATAACAATGAGGGTCTCCTTCCATTTCCATGCAATTTCCCTTTTCTCTCCCTTTCCCTCCCACCTCATGTCTCTGTTTAATGTTAATCTTTTCTTCCTGCTCTTCCCCCCTGCTCTATTCTTAGTTGCTCTCATTATATCAAAGAAGACATTTGGTATTTGTTTTTGAGGGATTGGCTAGCTTCACTAAGCATAATCTGCTCTAGTGCCATCCATTTCCCTGCGAATTCCATGATTTTGTCATTTTTTAGTGCTGCATAATACTCCATGGTGTATAGATGCCACATTTTTTAAATCCATTCATCCATTGAAGGAACTTTTTTTTTTAAAATTTTGGTGTTTTGGGTTTTTTTGTACAAGGATTGTACCTATGGATGCTCTTCTACGGAGCTACACCCCCAGTCCTTTTTATTTTTTGAGACAGGGTCTTGCTTAGTTGCTGAGGCTGGCTTTGAACTTTCAAACCTCCTTTTAATGTGATTAAATTCTTCCAAATGATTTATTTCAACCAAAGTACATTTGTTGTCTTCAAAAATTGCTTTCTCTTAAAGGACTTCCATTTAAAGAAAACTCATGCATCACATACAGAAAAGGGAATAATAAGCATCAGCTTACCATTGCAAGTTGTCGACCAATATTTCCCATTGTTATGCCTCCAGCAAAAAAAATACAAGGTAACCAAGAACGAACATACAGAAAGTCTGGAGATGTATATCTAGGATAACAGAAACATTTTAACAACCCACAGAGGAAGTACCTGTACATCTAAAATATTACAATAAAAATAAGTTATTCTGTAGATCATGCTGGATAATGCAATTTCAAAGACCTCAATCTAAATACAGTTATAATTTATTTACCTAGCAATCAAGAACTAAAATGAATACTTACTGATAAACACCATTATAGACTAGCAGTTGAGTGACCACAGTTGCCAAGAAAGCGATTCCTACTCCAAGACCAAAACCACTTCTAGATCTATCAAAAGTCCACCACAGTCCAATGGATAGTGCAGCCAGTGTGAGAGACAATTGTATGTTGTTATCAAAATCCACTTTCTGAGATGACTGTTAAAGAATCATCTTAAAACTTGTAAAACAGAATTACCTATTCATTTTTCTAAAATAAGAGATACCACTGTTAAAGAATTGTTCATTCTTGAGTATATTCATTCTTTTAATATCATACCTGGGGCTAGGTGGGATTAAAGCTGCCTCTGGAATTTTCCAAATACCAGATATAGAGAAGGCATCTCACCAACCTGTAACCTCACCAAAAAATAATAGCCTATAGACATTCCCAATTATAAGATCAGACCCATTATTTAAGAAATCCTGTCTTTGTTGAACATGTAACTGCAAGCTTTGGAACAGTAGTGTTGYTAAAGAGACACACTTGTGAAAAAGGAAACCAATATTACTTTTCAAACAGGTTTAGAATTACTTGAAAATCATACAGGACTTGAAAATAGAAGAGTTGACAGCTATTTAACAGGGTACCACATTTTCTACATGATTTACTGACAGACACATTTTATAATAATGCAGTTCAGAAACAAGAGTACCAAGGACACAGTATCCCTTTCTATTATGTCAACTGTTCTAGTTTTAATTTGTTGAGGATAAAGCCTTGAAGTGAACATTATCTTGCAACCTGCCAAGCTATTTTGGTGCCTGAGACTTTCTAGTATAGGACAGTTTGTGCAAATATTTTATTTCCGTCACCTACTTAAGCATCTATTCACAAATGTACAGCCCTTTTCTATTCCAAAATCTCTGGGCAAAACGATGCTTTACAAATTCAATTTTCTCATTTCTTTGCTAGAGGATTATACTAAAGGAATTAATTTCAAGTGTCATTAAAAGGGCATTATCTATGTCCCAAAGGCCATATCTTGGCTCTATAACCAGCTCCTTGGGCGGGGGGAAGGGGGGCTACATATCTCACCAAACTAACTGTCCATGCTACAATTAAAGTGAAGTTCCCCCCAAATGCACATAAAGTCATTTCCTGTTTCTTTCAACACCCACTGTTTATCATCATCCTGCACCCCTGCCAGACCAACATCCTGAACACCCAGCTTGCTGACTTCTCAGCATCTCAGGGCTGTTTAGTGTCACTTCCTTAATGTCATTCCTTGCTTAAGTTTGATTTATCAAGAAACCTATAGCTCAAATGGGTATTCTCCCTGGAAAAGCATTTTCTTATTCTTTAGCTGTCATTATACTTACACTCTAAAGGAAATATTTTGAGTGCTGATCCCTTTGAACAATAAATAAATGTTCACATAAAGAGAGGAATTTGCTATTAATGAGGTTCATCTTTGCTAAATAAATTAACTTCAATAAGAGGTAAGCAAAATAATGGGGATTCCAGAGTAAGCAAGTCAAGTATATCAATCTTAAAAGTAGTACCATGTGATTTTCTAAAGTCTAGGGAACCTAATATGAGAAGTCTGTGCTCTAGATTTTGTAAGTATTTTGAGTTTTGCTTAAAGAACAGATAGGACAGTTAAGATGGTTATTTTTAAGGATTTCATTGAGAAAAAAAAGTGAAAAAAAGCAAAGAATGTTATATGGAAAGTTTATAAAATGCTAGAAAATGCTATGTAATTTTCACTACTTAAAAACAGAGATTGCAGCCAAAATGTGGGACAGGAAGGTCTATCTAACCCAGCAGAAAGAGAGGGATGTGCACACCTACGAAGCTCCTAGARAGGAAAATGAGAGGTCCCCAGACCTGAGTCAGGAGCTCCGGGGCCTGCTCTCAGTTCTGTCACAGTCCGGCAATTTCTTAGCAAATGACCCAGCCTTTCTGGTATCCATGTGTCTTACATCTTCACAAAGAAAACATGAAGCTAGGTAACTTCTCAGTTCCTTTCTAGATATTACAGTCCATGGTTTTATCTCTTTAAGCACTCCTAACCACTACATTTGTTTTTTTATAAAATCCTAAATGTCAAAAAGTTCACCAAAATAAACATGTTGAAAACTATTTACTACAAAAAGAAACAGAAAACCAAAATAATAACTGTCCCTGAGAGATTTTCAGATTCATAGACCTGCAAGACCAGTGAAACTGGGCACTGTAATTGTTTTTAGAATCCAGGTCCCTGCCTACTTCTGTGGTTTTTGTTCCCAAGTTTATAAAAAACACCTCAATCTTTTGGTGAAAGGCCCAGGAATTAACTTGCCTGATGACCCACCCTCTCTCAGGTTACCTGCCTGCCCTGAGCACAGTACAGTGACAAAGGCGCTCTTGGTAGCCTGAGTCTCACTTCTTCCTCTTTCTGGTTCCCAAGGTTCCTGCCACTTCTACTGCCTAAACCATATCTTCTAGATGAAAGAAGATAGAACTAGCATTTCCCAAATTCTCTTCTACAAAGAAAAGGCAGAGGGTGGGGAGCAGGTAGAGGAAAGAAAGCAGGGAAAATGACAGAATGAAATCCTTGAGGGCAAAACCATGTGTCCTAGAGGAGAACATTTTTTTCTGTGATACAGAAGGAAGCAAGGTAAATGGTGGCTACCTCATTTCTCACTAGAACTATAAAAATATTCATTAATCACTGTGTAAAAATGTCAGAATCTTCAAATGATAAAACTTTAAATGTATGTTATTGGGGGAAAAAGTTATTTTTGGCCAAGGTCTGAGGTAGATATTTCTACAATGCCACCTTTAAGAATATTTATATGTTTTTTTGGTATTGGTTAAGACCAGTAAATGATAATCTGCCTTTTAAAAAATTAAAACATCTCTAAATTAAGAAAAACAAAAAACAAAGAAACAACAACAACAACAACAAAATAATAATATCCAAAGCCACTACATGTCCTTACTGACAAATCTTAAATTAAGAAAGAAAAGGGAAGTAAGCCTTTTAAAATGTACCTGCCCCAGTCTTGGAATTACCAAAACTATATGGAAGTAATTAAATAATCCAGTTTAGGACAAACATGTAAGTTTTTTAAATGTGTTGTTTCTAAGTAGTATTGAATAACAGGGATTTAAATAAAGAATTACTCCCACACCATAACCRCATAGATGCTACCTTGATATTTCATCAATACGGTTCACCTTCTTTTTATGACTAAATKGGCATAATCACACTCTGATGATGGTGAAGCTACAAGGGACGGTTTAACCTTTGGTTTGTTGGAAGCTGCTTTATTATTGCGCATTTCATTACAGCATAAAGGATATAGCACTGGCATGATTTATACCAACAAAGACAGCTACACACCGCATTACACTGGACCACTCTCTTTTAAATTTATGTGGTTCTCCTAGATGCCTGTCAATGCAGGGGTATAATAACCCAATCACAGCTGTAGGAAAAAAAGAAAAAAAATTAAGTCATCTCCARTGTTATCCTGGTAACAATTAAGCTACCAAGAACCACTATAACCTCTAAAAGCATTAAAAAATTTTTTGTTTATAAGAAAAAAAAGAACAAGTATTTAACATCAATCACTAATATTTTTAAACTTACCTTCCCAAAGAAAAGAATGAAGATAACACTACTGAAGAAAGCATTGTAAATGATTATAATAGTATTCTAAATTCTAATAGCAAAACACTCTTAAGCATATGACTCACAATTTAGCAGATTAACCTAGATGATCTATGCTTCTTTTATGCTACAAATATCTATGAGACTTAAGAAGAATCAAACCAGTTAAGCAATATTCTCTCAAACCTCCATAACCCTGAAATAATCTATTAAAATGACATAAACCTAAAGGGAAGCCAGAAACATAAACCCAAGTCATCATACACACAATATTCTGATGGTCCTGGCTGTCCTGTTCCATGAATTAGTCTTGCCCCCACCAGCTTCTCATCCCAGTTTTCTATACCTAGCACCTTTTCCTGACACTTCTGTCTAAGCTGGTCCTCTAATAAGAATGTAGGTCATACTGTAAAAGCAAGGAAAACTCCCAATAGAAATTTATACAGAAGATTGATTCTACAAGTAGAAAAGAATGGAAGACACAGGACCTATAGGAATTACTAATTTTCACTTAAAATTTAAGTTCACTCTTAAAAGATAAGGAGAAATAATCTTAGTACCTGGCTTAGTTTTAAAAGAATATCTTGACTGTCACCTAAATGCAATTACTGTATACAAAATGTCTATGATTGAGACTCAAAATATTCTCAGCCAATTCTTAAATACTGTTAAACCTCAACATTTTATTCATTCATAGAAGAAAATGTAAATGCTGTTAATAAAAAAGACTATTTAACAAATCAAAACATTGTTCAACAAATCATAAAGAAAATGCATTTCCACAGATTAAATTTAATAGGAAATAGCAAAGCAGCTTTGATTTGCTTTCCTCAAAAGAGACTGATTATGCTGCCATTCTGGAAACAAAGACACAACTGTCCCATCAGTGGGAAAGCATATCTAAAATGTCCAATACCACCTATGACGTATGATAAAACTGTTATACCAAAATCTAAGTGCCCAAGGATGGGGATCTCATGCCCCCACCTCGCACCCACCCCACCCAACTTCTCGCGGCCTGGCATTGGTTAGCTACATCTCACAAGCTCTGCATTCAACCTTCAAAGAAAAATGGAAGCCAATTAATATAAAAAAATCACAAGCTCACAGACCAATGGAGCAACATTTGAAAGAGGCTGCCTGACCACCCCTTCCATCTGGAGATAAGATTCTACGATTATGTATTCATTGTCTAGTCCACAACTCTTCTGACTTAAAGAATTGCTGAGTATAGATGGCTCACAGACCATCAAGAGATTAACAACAAATCTCAGCAGTGCAGAGCTCCAACAACTACTAGAAAATTTAAGTTTCATATTACTTTCCTACTTTATCTCACTGCATTGCTAAATTTGTACACATTTAAAATGGCAACTAGTCAGATATGGTGGTGCACACCTGTAATCCCAGCTACTCAGAAAGCTGAGGTAGAAGGACCGCAAATTCGAGGCCAGTCTTAGCAACTTAATGAAATCCTGTTTCAAAAGATTTTTAAATATTTTTTTTTAAAAAGGGCTGGGGATGTAGAGTACTCTACTCCTGGGCTGAATTCCCAGTATTAAAAAAAAAAAAAAAAGCCACTAAAATGCCTAATAGTTGAATTATCGAAATGAATGTTATTTATTTATTTTTTCCTATGGRGTCATAAAACTAACATCTCATCTATCATTCCTCGTTTCTATTCCCCTCCCTCTCTTTATACAACATATAGATAGCTATGGAGATAGGTCAATATATCTGTATCTATCTCTATAGATAGATAGATAGATAGATAAATATAGATCCAGTTTGCCTGTTGCTGAGTAAAATCATATAAGAGCAGGCATTCCAAGTCAATTTTCTTCAGCAGTTGATGCCATAGGTAAAGAATTATCACATAGAGAATACTGACATGTGTATGTGAAGATATAAATAAGTAAAATTGACTATATTTTTATGCATGTGATGTCAGACTTGCAAGTGAGAGACAACTGAGGAGAAAAAGCAAAAACACAAAAAGGAATTTAAACTGCCATGCTGCCAACCTTGGGATTTGCCAATAAAAATCAAATCCATTGAGTATGCATGGTTCTCGGTTGCTCACTGAGAGGGAGAATTCAAGGAAGCTTGTCACTTCCCATTAAATGTCTTCTTTCTTTCTTTTAAATAAAGGCATAGCAGAGTCTGATAGCAATATATACAGCACTGTGAGGCTCTGCCGTCTGAGATCTCAGCACAATATGTCTGGGATTCTTTTCCTCTTCCTGCACTTTTATTTTTTTAACACAAGAGACTGATAAAATCATGTCTGTGTAAAATCATATGAAAACATGGTCCTGATTAATAAGACAGTGCTCTGATGCAAAATTTGCATTTCTTGTTAGATCTTTAAGTGATTTCCCAGGACTAGTTATAGTCTGCCAAGACTAAAGAGAAAAGTTTGTAAAACACCAGTGTAAGTCATGACTTTTCACAGTAATGTGCTTAATGCAGTGAGTGTCACCAAAAGGAACACAGATAAATTAGACATTTTTCAAGGAAAGGGATTGAAAACACAAAGCCACTCAATGAGCTATATACTTCCCTGGAAAATTATGACAGAAGAAGGTAATAGTTTTATTCAATAAATATTTAAGTCTCACAGTACATCTGATTCTTGGTATTTGCTGGGGATTTTAAAAGAAAAAAAGAACTGATTCCAGTTGCGAAGTGAGCACAGACATTATAAAATAAAATGCTGTGTTAGGAGAAGCACTGACAAAGCACAGAGGGGTCCTGTCCTTGCATGTATTAAGGAGATGTGGAGTACTGGACTGTCAGGAAAGTTTCACAGAACAGGTGATCATAGATTAGGAGAACTCAGCAGGTAACCAGCATGGAAAAGGTTTTCTCATCACAGGTAGGCATCAAGGAAAAGCAGATACAACTGAAAACAGCCGGTATTACCAGGAAACCATACACATGAGGCATGAAGGGACCTTCAGGGTCCAGAATGGCTCTGAGAAAGATCAAAGCAGACAAGGGACATATCATAAAGAGAACAATATGGGATGAGGAAAATGATGCCAACACTTTTGTTGTAGAGAAAGGCAATCATTCTTACAGTAGTGAGTATACAACACAAGTCGGGGTGAGCAGGGAGTACAAAATTAGAAGCAGAAAGAGAAAGACTGATAAATGCAAGCAAGGACTAAGAAAGAGACGGAAGAAAGATGCAAAACTTGGAAGCTGAATATGGAAGGTGAAAGGGAGAAATCTTATAGGACTATCCAGGAATGGGGTGATAGACTGCATAACTAAACAGAAAAATTTCTTTCCTTTTTAAATGCTTAATGCATTTTTWAAAAATGCATTAGGTTTGGGCTCAACTTCGATGCTTGTGATTCTTTGAGGCAACTTCCCAATTTAGTTATTCCCAGGACTGTTTAAATCTTAACAAAGATGCCTTTGTGGTCCTCAATAACGTTCAAGAGGTTTTTAATTCCAGTTCTAGTATACTGCACACATAAGAAAGGTAATCAACTTATAACATCGGCATTGTTAAACGAAAAATAGAGAACTGAGAAAAGGAAAATAAGATCAAAAGAAGTTTACCCGACTTCTCTTGAGGTTCCTCAAGAAGCACCACTTTTACCCAACCTGCACTATAGGGAATGAGAGCAAATGAAAACCAGAGGCCTTTCGTTTTATAGATAGAAAGCAGTGATTCTGRTGACCCTCCAAAAGGTAACTGTTCAGTTTGTTAGTTGGACAGGAAAATCAAATGATGACTATGAGTTTTTTCTGACTTAATGATGCTAAGAATCTTAAAAGTTTGAAAAACGCATACCAACACACACACACACAMAAAAATACACATCACATACACACCAAAATTCACCCACACTATTTTCTTATATCATTTACTTCCTTTTTTTCCCCTGATATTTTCCCTAAAATGACAATGGGAGGTTGAGAGATTATGCAGCAATCCATTTTCCATCTTTGGTAGCTTCCACAAACCTGACTACTCTCATCCACTAAACACCATGAGCTACCCAACAAAACTGGTAGCAATAGTTGACAAGTATCTAGATTTCCCAGTGCCTTTTGTGAAAAAAAGGTCCCTCATTACAGGTACAGAAGGACCAGGCAATAGATGTGGCTGGATTCTCTCCATAATGGACGTATAATGTAACCTCAGCCAAGTTCCCCTGCCCTGACCCTGAGTATTCAACCCATGCCGTATATTCTATCCAAACCTAGCACCTCTTGAAAGCTGAGGCTTGAAAAGAGGCATCCCAACTAGTGGGAAGTATGAATTGCTTTCACACTTGAGCCCAGCCCCACCATTCACTGGCTTAGAACTCTGGGCTCATTGATTTCCTCTTTTCATCTCTTCATCTCCTAACAGGCACAATGCCACCATCTCTATCTGAGGTTGTCCTACAGAGCCCTGAGGTTAGGGGAAACACTTGTTAAATTAGGAAACATGCAATAAGGAAACTTTCCTGCCTCTAGCCTTCCTTGTCTCTATCCTAAAAACACACGTTGTTCCAAGTCTTGTATGACAGCAAGACAGAATTATACATTAGAAGAAAATAAACAAAAAAACTAGAAAAAGGTATTGGTAAAATTTTATTTTTCTCTTCTGAATATAAGTGAAATAAAACAAAAATACATGAGAAATAGCAGATAGAGCAGATAGTGATAAAATACAACTTACAGTTTCTTCTCTTTGAACAATTTTGCTAATTCTCTTAGAGAATGGTAATCCTCAAGAAACCAAAAAGCATCAACTTTACAAACTACTCTTTCAGTGTGAATGCTGCAACACTCAGACATCAATGTATAAGCCCCGTGAAAACCTTATCACACAGTGTCCTTCTATCCATGCATTTGGATTACATAATTGTCCTGTAGGTTTCATGAGGTCATTTTAAATGTCTTACAATTTGACCCCATCTTTTGAATTCACCCTTCTACCTCCAGTTCTACTATGTACACCCAGAAAGACCTATATTATGTTCATGTATATTCAGCAGGAACATGCAAAAAATCAATTTTTTGTCTCAATCTCAATCAGAATGTGCTTTTACCATAACTATTCCTCCCTGCTATCAGTTATATAAAATAGTATTAATCTATTGGTCCTAGTCATTAGAAAAAGTTAATCCATTATGGAAGCTCAGTATTAATAAGACATTCTGAAATGCTCTACTTTATCCATTACATGCCATCCAGACTTTATCCATTATGCCATCCAGCACCAAAAAACAAACCAAAAGCAACTAATAGAATAATAATGATTTTAAGCAAGGAGAATCAACTTTATTGATCTCCAAATATTTATTACTCTTAAGGTATATTTAATAAAAACATACAAAGGATAAACGTATACCAAAAATCTAAAAAACAATACAAAGACTTAAACTTGAATTAAATTATTCCATTTTTTGAGTTTTTGTCAACTTCAAAACAAGACTACATTATATACATCAAACCCTTAGAATCAAAGAGCAATAATCATCATCAAAATAACTTAAAATAAGACTTACACAAGATGAGCTGAGCTGAAGGAAGACCAGATTAAGAGGTTAAATGCCTCATCCTAAAGGGAATCAGGATAGTTTTTAGGATTAAATTTTAAAAGTTCAAAGGACACAAAGAAACAAGATATAGAAGAGTACCTACTCCATGGTTCCACTGATATCACACCCTATAATAGGCAGAAATAAAACTTTGGTGACAGAAAGGAGATCCGAGGGAGCCTAAGGATGTAGGGGGGGAATGGACTAGAAGAGAATATAAAAGAATTTTAGGGGTGACAGACGCATTCTATAGCTGGATCATGCTCATGGTTACATGACTACATTCAGTTGGTGCATCAAATTATTCATTAAGACAGATTCACTGTATTATATTAAAATTATACTTCATAAAACTGATCTGGTTTTTGTTAAAAGAAAAGTTTATTGCTCAGAAAACTTCTATATTTATTTATCCTATTTCCTTTCTAAGCATTGCAGAAATATCCTACACATACCTGAAGCTGTGCCACAGCATGGTGGTACCCACCATGCAGAAGAAAAGATGCTTGCAATCACATCGGGTGGAAAGAGTGTCACATTTCTCTGAATCTGAAGCAAATTTAACACTAACGCAAGAAATACTCCAATAAAAAAAAGGACTACTCCTCGAATCATCAAGTTCACACTCTGGCTAGTGACAGATGAGATATATGGGCCACACTTTTTCGACCCAGGTAACTCCGTCTCTCCTTCCGCCATGGTTTCATAAGTTCAATAAGCTGTAGGGGTGGGAGAGTACCAGTTGAAAAGCTCCACTGTTTGTGAATCAAAGCAGATGATGCTTCAACAGTACATCTTGTCCTAAAGCATGACCTACCAGAAATCCTGCAAAAGATAAGAAAGAAATCAGTGTTTCTGATATATAATTGTATATTTTTTCTTATTTCAATACTTGTTCATTTAAAAAGATAAATAATGAAATGACAAGTTTGCAAACTCATTTATTTAAATTAGTTATTTACTAAATAAGAAAAGGTTTTAAAGTATTTTATATGCATGATATAATAAAAAATAAAGTGCCACACTAGTATTTTACTAGAAAAGAATAAGTGGCCCAAGAGACCTAAAGATTAGAACAATTGTAAAAACAGCTTGCCCCACTCAGAGAAAAGTAGAACAGATAATCAGAGTCACTTCCAAGAGAATCAAAACTTGCAACTTGCTGCATCTTCTACCTAAATCTCCAAGTGCATCAATTACAATAGGGTGTTTTACACTTTACAGAAAGTCAACATATTGTGATAAAAGATTTAATTTTCCACAATAAAATGTGGCTTGTTCATGAAGACAACCTCCATGAAAGAACAAAATGATTCATTTTAATGTTTAATTTGATACATTTAAATTTTTACACAAAAGTATAAAAACTGGACCACCATGCACTCTTGACACACATACCAGCCACTGAAGTCAAAGGGGACCATTCTTCCCGAGGCCACATCTGTCTCTCACCCTGGCTTCAACCCAGTCTGCCTTAGTTGCAGTCATCAGAGTGACTGTGAGAAAGTTGGAAGAGGAAGCAGAATAGAGGAAGCTAAGACAATGAAGAACAATCTCATGACTAGATTTGGAGGAGTTTTATCCACCAGGCTCCTAACTCCGAAAATCTCAACACTTTGCTATTACAATCAGTCTAGGTATTTGTTCACTTCCCTAACCAAAGTGACCATTATGGTTTGGATGTCATTTCCCACCTAAATATTCATGTGTTGGGAGCTTGGTCCTCAGTGTAGAAATGTGGGGGAAGTGGAATCTTTAAGAGGTGGAGCCTAGTGGGAATGCCGCTTTCAGAAGGGGCTACAGGACCTCAGTCTCTCAGGCTTCCTGTTTGGTGACATGATCTATGTCTCACACCTGTGCTCCAGTCGTCTGCCTCAAGGTCTTCAACCAGACCATTGTCGATGCTGACATCATGCCCTTAAGTTGCAACAACTGTGAGCTAAAACAAAACAACAAAAAAAAAAAAAAAAAAAAAACTANAAAAAAAAAAAAAAAAAAAAAAAAAAAAAAAAAAAAACTATTTTCTAGCCAGTGGGGTGGCCCAAGCCTGTAATCCCAGTATCCTAGCATCTCTGAGAATGAGGCAGGAGGAACTTGAGTTCAAAGCCAGTCTCATTAAAAGCCGGGCACTAAGCAACTCTGTGAGGCCCTGATTCTAAATAAAATACAAAATAGACTGGTATGTGGTTTAGTGGTTGAGTGCCCTGGAGTTCAATCCCAGGTTCCCCCCTCAAAAAAAAAAAAAAAAGAAAGAAAAAACAACTATTTTCTTTATAAAGTCTGCCTAACTCAGGTATTTCATCCGAGTAACACAAAATGGACTAATGCAGTTGTTTTTCCTTTGTGTGTGTTTAAGACAAATAACATGTGAGGCTTTTATGTACCTTTCTAAGCACCTGACGTGATAATCCTTGAACCCTAACAATAACCTTGAGAGGTAAACGCAATTCTTGTGTCCACTTCACAGGCCACACAAGGAAGTTTAAGCCACTTGACCAAGTTTACATATGTAGGAGGAGGCAGAACTGGGATTCAAATCCATGTAGTCTAAGCCCATGCTCTTACCATGATGTTCAGCCTCCCAAACTGTCACATATGCTTTTGTTTTTTATGAATACTAACAATTTTTAAATAGGAAAATACTACACAGGCTGTTTTTTATAATTTGCTTTCATCCTTCCCAACTACAATATATCTTGGGCATCTTTATAAGTCAGTACTTAAGTGATATTTCCTTTTGATCCCAAAGCAGTTTAAAACTTTAGATAGCACTTATAATAGCTACCTTATAATTATATGTATAGTTGCTTTATGGGTTATAAACTTTACATGTAGGTCTTATTCACCCAGCAAGGTTCCTGTTTAGCCCACAGTGGGAGCTCCAGATATTCCTGCTTGTGTAGTTAAATTGGGCTTACTCTTCTTAAATCAAACTATATTGGGTTAAGCAGGCCTTCTGGAAGGCCTTTAATCATCATTTAAAATTCATTGCCTTTGAGTTTCCAATTTTCAAACTATCTTATAAATGAATTTTGGAACAAAACTCAACTGTAAACTGCAGGAGATGGGGCTGACATGAGAAATAACCATTATGAAAATGAGAATATTTGTAAGTACTAGTAACTTTCACAGCTTATCAGCTCCATGTGATAAACAAACAACAGGCTTTGATACACCGAAAGATTTATGCCCAACACTCAAGGGGGAATACTGTCCCTAAGCTGATCCTTACAATCTTAGGTAGTTTATAGTATAACTGAGCTCTACAGTATTTTGGACTGCAGAAAATAGTACATATTACAGCTGATTTATGGGAAAACAAACTCTAAATACCAATTGAAAATGCCCAGAAATCCTTCTGAATAGGTATTGTAGACTATTCCTGCCATGGTATGGTAAACAGGTATATTAGCACATCATATGTTCTAGACATTTATAGCAAGGATCAGTAACCACAGAATTCATCATGATCATCTTCTTCTTTATCACTATTAATAGGCATGTAGTAATTCAGAGACCATTCATTCTCTGTGCCATAAATAGAGTAATTCTGATTTTCAAATAATCCTAAAGGTAGGAATTATCCTCAATTTACTCATGAGGATCCTAAGTCAAAGAGATTTTGCATTTATTTATTGGTCATAGGACATGCAGAGTTAGAACTGGAATTTTACCTCAGGTCTTATTCCCAAATTTATTCTCTTTCCTCCATACGCTGAATCCCACTCCACCTACTAGACCTGGTTTTTGGCACATGGGTCTATATAAAATTACTTGATTACTGAAAGAGATGTGTAAACACTGGGAAACCATATCAACTGCAACATAGTCTCTAGGTACAAATGCCAATGTGAGTAGGAGACAACATAATAGCACAGAGATGATGAGAATAAATGTAAACATCTTGAAATTTTTTAAAGTACTAGATCAAGGTGAAAATTACAGTACATATTACAGCTGAATTATGGAAAAACAAACTCTACATGCCAATTGAAAATGCTCAGAAATTCTCCTGAACAGGTATTTCAGACTATTCCTACCATGGAGATATTTTAAAGTAAAAAAAGAAGCATCTCAATGGATAAGTAAACACTTTTTGGCTAAGTACACACTTTATGATGACTTTGCTTCCCAAACTTCAGCCGCAAGGAAACCCCACTGACTCTGCTGCAGGGACAGATATAAGAGGATGAATTTATGTTCCAAGTATGTTCCAAATCTAGTGCAGCACTTGTCTCTGTGAATTTTTCCAAACAATAATAGCAAAAAAATTATTCTTAATAATATTTTAAAAGAACAAAATAACTTCAGTTTTAGTTGTGCTAGCTCCTATCTCACAATCATTTGCCAGAATTTGTCAGTGTACCAGCACTGAGGACAGTTATGTCCCAACAAGTCCTTGTTATGTGAAACTGCTCTAAGCCTTGCATATTATTTAGCATCCCTGTCTCCTGCCCACTAAATGCCAGCCTCCCCCCATCTGAGATAACCAAAATTGTCCCCACATTTCCAAATGCCCCAAGGGAGGCACTGTCTTCCAACTGAGAGCCACTGATTACTAGATACTTGTTTCCTCATTCTATTTCAAGGCTGCTAAAGACTTTCTAAACTGTCCATCTATGTTTTCTACCACAGCTGTTTATCCACCTTTTCCTGGCAGTGCCTCTTCATAATTTCCTACTTCACCCCACAAGTTTTCTTTAAAAATAACAACATTTGTTTGATGTATGTTTGAATGTGATCCAAAAAGCTAACTTAGTGTCTGCATCATAATACAATGGTATGTAATTACTGAGGACAAAAATAAAAGCTACAATGCTTTACAATCATTGTATTCTAAAATTTAAGAACAGGAAAGGAACTCAGAGATCATCTACTCCATAGATGAGGGTGTTTGACCCTCAGACTAATCAAAAACAAAAAACTTGTACATGTGTGCATTTTTCTAAAAGTTCTACAATTTATATCAAGTACTCAAAAACTCCATTAACTAAACAAAGCTAGATTTAAAAGTTYTCTTACTCTCCTAGCAAGGCAAATGGGACACAAAGGGGTCAAGTGAATTGACAAGATCAAGATTGTACTACTGGATCTTTTGACTATAAATATATACAGTGAACACCTGGAAATGACCACACTCATCAAAGTGTGGTCAAAGGGATAGGAAATTCCTTAAGTCTATTCACCACCCCCCTACATTGCAACAACAAAATTCCTTTAAGTGGTACAGGGCTTGCCTAACACGTGTAAGAGCCTGGGTTCGATTCTCTGCACCACATAAAAAATAAATAAATAAATAAAGGTATTGTGTCCAACTACAACTAAAAAAGTAAATAAATATTTTTTTAAAAAGCATGTTTATATCAGTCATGCACTTAGGAGGGGTAGTTATTTTAAAGGAAAGCTCAAGGGAATTATCATTGCTTAATTTAAACATTACTCTTAATATCGAAAAGAAATCTGATTCTCCAAATTTTTAAAAAATATATCTTTAAAAAATTTAGATTATTTAAAAAATAATTTTCTGATCAAAGAAGAAGTCTCTGGTATAGATACTGTTTAAAGGGCAGTATCTCAATGAATCCTCAATGATAATTTTGTTAATAAACAGTCAAGTGCTTTTAACTCTATTTTACAAAATCAAATAGGCTAGTTGAATTTCTAAAATCACAAACTGTTACCAGGTAGTAAAAGGTCGAGGYCCAAACACAGACTCCATGACTTCCACTTCACTACATTGTCTCTGTCTATGAACACCATATAAATACAATTTAAGGACCACACAGGAAACAGTTTTTAAAGTTATTTTGATAAATTACTATTAATTCCAAACTAATGTTTTCAATCATTTAAAAAGACATACTTTCCAAGGGACATAAAAAAATTCTACCTTGAGTCCTGAGCTCCAATTTATATAAAGTATGTGAGTGATCAAAAAGAAAAATAGTTCACATAGTTTGGCTAATCAATGACAAATCATCAATACTGGAAAAACATCATTCCAGGTGTCTACCTGTTAATATTATTGCTTCAGACAAATAAAAGAGAGTTCTAAGCAATTCTGGGCTCTTTGAATGAAAATCAAAGTTTATACTGACCAGTGAAACAACTCACAGACAACGGACATTTTTGAAAACAAACACACACAAATTCTCCTAGTAACCTTAAAAAAACTGGTTGTGTTTCAACAATTGCAACACTTCCTAGAACCAAAGAATAAGATCATTCATCTTCCGATGATGATTAGAAGCCACAAAAGCACATTTGTTTCCCTCATATTACCCTACCCTGTCTCTTCAGGTGCTAGCTCAGATAGACTACTAAATAATAAAGTTAAATCATGTCTTTTTCATCATATACTCTCATTCAGAATGGCATTCCCAATATAGAATACTCATTAACATTAGAAAAACACACAAATCACTGAAATAGTTTAACTCCCATAAAGAATATAATGTAACTATTTTCTTAACATTAAAAAATCAAACATATAAAACATTAAGCAAGCAGCATTTACAACTCCTTGCTGGTTTTAAATTATCAATTTCCCTCCCTAAAAAAGTTACTCTATTATTAGGGGTAATTTTCTGATAACAGTAAAAACAAACTGTCTTTAAGTGACTGAATTCCATTTTACCCTTTCATTTTCAATGCAACCATCTGTAAAAGCAACAGTTGTCAGTTTTAGAAGAATCTGTTTCCCAAGTGTACATGATTCCCAGCTTGGTCAATTTCCACCAGATATGAACTGACTACTAGGAAAAAACACGCCATGATAAATCACGGTACTGAACACAAGGTCCAGAGATAGAATAAAGGGCAAAAATAGAAGAGTACAGTGGCCACTTAGTTTTCTGTGGGTCACTGATTAGTGGAGGTATTCTTTCAATCAGTTGTTCAGTATCAATGGCAAACCCAAAAGTCGAAAACACAGTCTAGCTTATTTGGCTGCCTTCGTTTTTTCTGCAGCCAGGACTGCAGCATGTCTTCCTCAGCACTCCTGGGCTCTACTGCAATACTGACACTAGCCAATTTCAGCCGCCCAGCTGTCAAACCTATCCTTTACAGATCCTACAAAACAGCAAGCTTTTCATGGTATATTTTCTAAGACAGTCTAGCTGATACCATTCTTTAACAACGCTTTCCAACATTACCTGGACATCAGTTATTATCATTACTAGTTTTAGCACCTTCTCTGCCCCCATCCCCATCATCCGCATTGCTTTCCTCTTCCAGGATGCCAGACTGAGTGATCCTAAAATCCCCATAACTATTATCAACTGATCTCTAGACCCAGCCAAAAGTTCTCTTTGGTTGTACCCACACATCTACTCCAAAGATATTCAATTCCAATCCAAAATGCCAAAGTCCTACTCCTCAAACCAATGTCGTATCATTTGGGTGGGTTCTAAATTTACCAGGATACCTGCCTAATTTGAATCCATCCCCCACCCCCCAAGTCTGTGTCTCTCTCCCCAGCTACCAGCCACCCAAGGTCCTGACAGCTCTATGCTTGACAGCTGGCCGACCTCCACCTCCATCAGATCTCCAGGGTCGCCCTTCCCGCAGTCCCCCCACTCCGACACTCTTCCTTTGTCCCTGAGCCTCGGCTCCCCCCACGACCTCTCTCAAGCCCGCTGTCCTCTCCTGGACTTCTCCGACCTCTCTCCAGGTAAGCGGAGCCCCTCGCCCTGCAGGCCCCATCTGCGGTCCGGGATCCCCACACCTGCCACCAGGATTCCCGGCTGCAAAAAAACACAAGTGGTTCCTCTTCTTGAGAGCTACGCCTTTCCTCAGGCCGCTTCCCTCAGCAACATGTCACCTGCGCTCTTGTGGGAGACCCCAACTCACCCCCGCCTCCGCCATCTTCTGGGACCTGCCCCCGTCCCCCCTCCGCCTCTTCCTTCTCCCCTCCCACAACTCCGCCGGAGCTCCACTACGCCTGTGCAGCCGCCGTGCCGCGCGCTGGTGATCGGGGCAGAAGAGCTTCCGGTTTCCGCTGGAGCTGGCGGAGGAGCTAAAAAATCGGGGCAGCAGGGCTTCCGGGCTGCAGGAACTTGGCTGCTGGTGGGAGGCGTGGACCGTGTAGGTGGTGGGAGGCTGCGGGATCAGCTGTTTGCTAAGTAGACGGTTGTGGGTTGTGACGGGTGCCCCGATCCTGTGGGCGGAGTAAAAGAATCGTGCAGTGACACACGCACACCGACAAGTAAGACGCAGTCCTCTGCTTGTTCCTCATCTGCGAGCCGGGAGAGTCGCGGGCTATAGAGGATCCGCGGCCAAGTTCTTCAGGATAAGGCGCCAGCTCTCACTATATAGTGCTTTTGCGGAACTTTACTCCTTGCTCTTTCTTCCCTATGAAGCCATAATTTATTTTGAAAGAAAATACTTGATATTTCTCTCTCATCTCCATCCTGTAGCACTTTTCATTCCTAATCGTTCCTTAAGGACGACCAGGTAATGTAGTTTAAGGGCAGTCGTTTTCATAGGAAGGGCTTTAGAAATTTACACCAAAGTAGAGAGACCACAGACATTAAAACCCCTCGTTGTCATTAGTATTATACCCAGTGAATCTAAAACCTTACTTTTAGAACATTAACCAGCCCACACAGAACTTTGGAGATTGTGAACGTGAACTTTTGTTTTGAATGCAAGTGGTGCCATCAGTATATAAGCAAACCATATATATATGCCAGAAGGCCTTGATAATTTTTAAAAGGAAAAAACAAAATCTCTCTTGACTGTATTACATTACTAAGCTATTCTGTATAACACTTTTTTGGGTGTCTTAACCCAAACTACACTATGGATACGATCGTACAGCAGTGACCTTAAGGAAAGTTTCAGATGAAATGTGGGCCCAGAATAATTGCATAACAGTTGGTTAAACTCCTTCGTTTTCTTTTATTTTGAACTGGTAAAGGATAAGGAATTTATTGATGTATTAGTAAAGAATAAGATGTTTGTCGTTGTTTTGTTTTGCTTTGCTTTTTTCAGTGCTAGGGATCAAATGCTCTGCCTTGCTCATGCTTGGTAAGTGCTCTACCACTGACTTATATTCCCAGCCCAGTAAGATGGCTTTTTAATGTTTCTAATCCTTTTATAATATAACACATCTATTTCTGAAAAGTTAAAGAGAAACTAAATTTGCAACAGAAGTATCTGAGTATTTATAAACACTACTTGTTTTCTGTTTTCCCTAACTCTTAAATATAGTTCCTGTGGGTTTTTACGTTACCAATAAAAGAAAATATGGGCTAATTATACTAAATGGAAGAGGAATTTTAAAAGGAAAAAAGCATCCAGAAAAGAGACAATAAGTTCAAATTGTCCTGCCTCATCATGGTTCTCATTAAAGCACCATGAATCCTATATGTACAATTCATTCCTACCCCAACCCAGCTCTTTTAAATACTTAGAAACTGCCTTCAAGAAAATTCTAATGGAAAATTTTAGCCTAGTAARGCATTTATTTTAGTTTAAATATTTATAAATTGCAAGGAGGGACAGGATCTAAAACTAAAGAAACTGGTGTGGCACCAATTTCTATGAGTCTGACATCCATTCCAGTAATTTCTTTGCGGTACAAGGCTGAATTTAAAAAATCCTTAAGAGGAATACAAAGGGCTGTTTTTGTCATTTATTAGATTTGAGCATGGTTTTCATGAAAGATGTGGTCTTTAAGTGGACACTGAATATAAATATGCAGATATGTAAAGCTGTGGGATCTCAGAGTTGGAAAAATATAAAGTGGATTAGAGAACCAAGCACATGGAAGAATGTGTGCTGAAACATGAGATCTTGATGTAAAACTCATGAAATTGGGTTAAATTTTTGTTATCATGGATATGTTAAAATCCTAAATTAGTTGATGTCAGAATATTAATTAAGAACCTTAGATTACTTTGAAATTGATGTAATGTCAGTGGAATGCAGGTGAGGGATTCTTGAAACCCAGATTGTGTTGGTGTTATAAAAACGTGTGTAGTCATGTCTGGTAAATCTCATTTTTCGAGGCTTTCAAGGTCTTAACTGTAAAATGAAGGATTGGTTTAGATGATTTCTAAGGTCCTTTTTACTGATAGAATTATCAATGATTTGAAAATACTGCAGCTTCAGAGAAAAGTTTTTTTCCACTAGCCTTACATGTTGTTTGATCTCCTAACCAAAAGATCAAAAGATAAGTTAGGAAAAAAAAAAAAAACTCTTTCGTTAGCTAAAACAAACACCCATAAAATTTATTTGCCTTATTGGAATGAGATATTGTTAGACTAACATTAATTATTGCCTAAGGGTTTATGACTGACTATGCTTTACAGTAAACTTCTCAAAACTTTGGACTTGGAAACCTATCCAAATTAAAAACATTCAAAAATTCAGGAAAAGAAATGTAGGCAGTTTTCCTGCTCAATAGCTGAAATTCAAAATACTAGAGACCACTCTGGTTTTTTGTTGTTGTTGTTGTTTGGTTGGTTGATTTTTTCTTTCTTTCTGGTGTTTTGATAAGGAATACTGCTGAGGTTTAAATGTGGTTTGTCCCACAAAGGTTCATGTTCTGGAAGGTTGGCCTCAGTATGGTGATGTTGAGGTGGTAGAAACTTATATAAGATGAGGCCTATTGGAAAATAATTAGGTCATGGGAGCTTTCTCCTCATGAAGGGATGCTGCTGCTGGTCAGGGTGGTTGAGATCTAGTAGAAAGGGATTAATTTTTCAGAAATCAGATTGTTATAAAAAGAGTGACCCTGGCCCCTCCCTGGTTTCTAAGTCTTTGTCTTGTCGTGTGATCTTTCCTTCTTGCAATGCCTCCACCATGATGCTCCTACCATGTTCTCATGTAAGCTGAAGGCCCCCACTAGAGGCTGAACCAATAAGGCTCCTTGATATTGAACTTTCAGCCCCCAAACTGTAAGCTAATTAAACCTCTTTTCTGTAAAAAGTATTCAGCCTCAAATAGTTCATTATAACACACAAAACAGACTAATACAGATACATTTTTCTGAGGGACACACACACAAAAAGGAATTTTGCCTCTTTGAGATTATAAAATGGGTCATTTGTTAATCCACTCATCCCGCCAACACATGTGACCTGAGCACCTCACAGTTACCAGGCACTGGACCATAGGAAGAAAGCAAAACAGGTCAGGCATCTTGCTTATAGTCTAGTAAGTCAATGTTAAATTAACATGTGCTTACAAATGAGACAAGTGCTATGAAGATGAACCATCTCCATATTGCAGTGGTGCATTAAGGAAATGCCTGGAATGTGACTTGAAGATTAAGAGGGATATGCCAGAGCAGGATGAAGAGCAAGTGTGAAGGCACAAATGTGGAAACTTCGTATACTCCAGGAATCGAAAGGAAAGCAGAGTCACTGGAGGGGAAGAGTAGCCATTGAGAAGGAAGAAGATTAAAAACTCAATTGTTGGGCTGGGGATGTGGCTCAAGCGGTAGCGCGCTCGCCTGTCATGCGTGCGACCCGGGTTCRATCCTCAGCACCACATACCAACAAAGATGTTGTGTCCGCCGAGAACTGAAAAATAAATATTAAAAAAAACTCTCTCTCTCTCTCCTCTCTCACTCTCTTTAAAAAAATAAATAAATAAATTTAAAAAAAATTAAAACTCGATTGTGTATTAACATCATGATTGACCACTTATCGTATGCCAGGCACTGTGCTAATTCACCTCATATGCTCAAAACTCTTTTGAAATAGATACCAAATAGTAGATGAGAAATTAAGGCTAAGAGTTGTTATTCACAGTCTTGGCTGTATATTAGGATCATCTGTAGATCTATTAAAAATTTTAGTGTCTGAACACCACCCTCTTATATTCTGATTAAATTGGGCTAAAGAGGAGGCCTTTTAAGACTCATTGTGCAATCCTAATGTAATCTGAAAGTAATCATAATGTAGTGAAGAGTTGAGAATCGCTGGATTAACATTACTTTGTCCACAGTCACTTAGCAACTAAGGGTAGAGGAAGAGAAACTCAACCTAGATCTGATTGATCCTGAAGCCTGTGTTCTTAGCCACTCATTAGTTCCCTGTCCACATTCAGTAGTATATAGAAAGCAATTTCATGCTAAAAACTGTTCAACACTGAGACAGAAAGATGAACAAGATTGAGCTCTTACCTTCAGGATTCACAGTCATAAAGTAATAAGGCAGAAGTCTCAATAAACCAAGCCAGCCCATGTAAATAGACAAGTTCACTGAAAACTTTTCATGAAATCATATATGTTCCGCTGTTTTAAGCTAGATTTGTCTGGAAGGTACCTAATGGGAGGGAATCTAGGTAGGCAGATATCGCAATTGTCAGCTATGAGATGTTGCAAGCCTGAACTGAGGCAATGGCAGAGGTCACAAAGAGAATTGGCAGGACTTGCTGACCACTGATGTGAGGGTGATAAAAAGATAGAAATGGAGATGTTTTGAGTTTGAGAAATCAAGTTCATGTGGCACCATTGGTCTAGAATAAGAATGCAAGAATTGAATTTGGGGTTGGATGAGTTTGAAATATTTTGAAATTCAGGTAGAAATATCTAGTAGGCAATGACAGTGTGCAACTGGAGGTCGAGTGAGCAAATGGACCTAGAAATGAACAACTGGAATTACATTGTTTTAGGAGGTAGTTGAATATGCCATGTCTGACATTTTTTAGAAAAGATAATAGAGATTGGGGAAGGAAAAAATTCTGACATTGCCATACTTGAATATGTCAATAAAGCTATTATTTATCTGCAGTGATATTGAACACAGTCCACTTATGATTCATATCCATGATGAATTTTTAATACTTTCCAGACTTTGCCTGGCCTCATAGCA